AGTGATAGAGTTCATCTCTTCCCATTATCATCGCAGCCCCACCCTGTGTACAGGAGAGTGGAGGACCTCATCTATTCAGCCAGGCCAACAATCCCCTTTAACGACCGACCTTTCAGACACTTAGACGGGTACGGGGTATTGCAATCCAAATGGGTGGAACCTTTCGTCTGTTTCAAATTTGTTGGGCTACTCTATAAAGCCTAGAACTCAACACTATTCCTGACATTTTTAATTTGAAAACGTTTCCTGGATGGGAAGCAAAATGTCTTCAAACTTGGAAACAAAGTCCAGTGGATTGTTTTGAATTTTCTTTCTTTTTTTTTTGGAATGACTATGACTGAAAAACTGAAGAGAAAAGACAATTACTTTGTCTTTGGTGCTCACACCTCAACAGGAAACATAGCGCTGAATTTTGTTTGATATGCATGAACAGGAGTAGAGAATAGGGCTGTTTCCCCCCCAGGCCTGAAACTGGTGGTGGAGTGGAGACAGATGAAGTTGGTCAGTCTGTGGACTGCTGGTTAGCGAGACCGTATGCTGAGCTTTATGGGGAGACCCGGTGAATTGCGTGAGCTGATACTAGAGCTTCACTCAGGGACCTGGAAGATGGAAGTCCAGCTTGGATTACACAGGTTAAGAGAACTTGTCCATGATGAGCAAGCATGAAGCGACAGTGGAGAGGAAAAACTCTCAGTTGGGAAGTAACCTCTGGCAGAACCAGGCTCAACATGGCGGTCTTCTGCCAGACCGGTTGAGGTGAGACAGGGAGCACAGAAAGAGTCCGGGAGGATTGAAACTCTGATGAAGCTTTAGCTACGATGGTGGAGGAGGGGCTGGAGGTGGGTTGAGACAGTGTCATCTGAATGAAGTCACACAGCGCATCCACCGCCTGCGCACAGAGCAGACAGGTGCGTATCGGAGGCCTTTTAAGATGAACTTTGGATGCCGATTGGCTTTCGTGGAGGTGTGGTTCAAAGCTGATTGGCTGTGTCGCAGGTGGAGAGCAATGAGTTTCTTCAGTTGAACTTTCACCTAGGCTCCATATCATGAACATAGTGATGACAGAGTTAAATGGAACACAATAATAATAGCATTTTAGGGTTATTATTAATATTGGAAATCTGTCTGATGGCAGCTAGATAATTTGAGTAAGAGAATGTATTGTGCCTGTATCTAACATATAAGCATACTGATAGAAACACTTTGCTTCTACCTGCTTCTGTTTAAAGTTTTTGTGATCTGTTGGTAAATAATAAACAGCTTAGTTGTTCTAATTCCCATTTTTTTGTTGACTGATGTACTCTGAGTTATATTACTTGATCAACCATTTTTTTAATACCGGTAATAAAAGTGTGCTTGATTTGTGCTGATATTTTATCCTGTCAATATCGGTATGGGTCAATATTCAGAGCAGCAATATTGGCATTGCTGGTGAAGATTCTCAGTCATCGAGGTAATAGTCATTCCAAAAAAGTAAAAAAAAAAAACAAGCCACTGGACCTTGTTTTCCAAGTATGAAGACGTTTTGCTCTCAAAACATCTGGAGTAGGATTTGAGTTCCAGGCATATAGAGTGGCCCAAACAAAAGCCTTGCTGTGGCTTAGAAAACATACAAAATGAACCAAAAAAAACAGGTCCAAGAAAGGAAGACATTTACACTAAGAGAGGAAAAAACAGCTTTAAACAGAGGGGTTGGTCTCAGGTTCCAGTTCTTAAAAACCTGAAACTTAGCGATAGAGTTGATTCTTTCCTGCTATGCAGGTGACCAAAAGATCTCGCCTAGTCAGCCACGCCAATAATGACCTTAATGACTCCCCATTACAAAGGGGTTGATCTGTTTTTCAGTTAAATTTGCATGTTTTCTAAGCAATAAGAAGGCTTTTGTTTGGGTTACTCTATAAAGCCTGGAACTCAGTGCTAATTCATCGATTCATTTTGTATTGAAAAAGCTTCCTGGATGGGGAGCAAAACATCTTCAAAATTGGAAAACAAAGTCCAGTGGATTGTTTTTAAACTTTTCTGGAATGGACTTAGACTTACTTAGACTTAGATAACTCTTATTGTCTATATCAAACGCATTGATATGGAAGTTTCGTTTTGCACAGCTATCATAACATTTCCATTCCTTAAAGTGCAGCAGTGATCAAATGTAAACAGTATGGGAGAAAAAACATAGTGCAAAAAATGCATTGATATGGAAGTTCAGAGCATTAAACATGTATGGTGCAAATATTCAGTATTTTGGTTTGGTGCTATCAGTGTTATATGGAGTCAGTGACAGGATTAAGAGCTTTTACAACAGTTAAGCTGTCTGATAGCGGTGGGGTAGAAGCTGTTGCTGAATCTGCTGAACCACAGGGAGCACAGTCCGTGATGGGGGCGTGAGGGGTCATTGATGATGTTACGGGCTCGGGACACTATTGGTATTGTATTGGAAGTGAACAAGTTGTATATGGTCAGCCCTAATAGTAATGCTGACCATGCAGTTATATAGATAAAACGTAGGGAGCCATTGTACTTTATGGTTAATAATCTAGGAGGGAAAATGAGGCTGATAAATGAAAATTAACAGGTTGATAGGTTTCTGTTAAGAGCCTTGAGGTGAAATTTGTTGTGAAATGGAGGTATGTTAATAAATTGAACTGATATAACTAAAATGCATCTTAACTCTTAGGATTACAGCTTCTCTGGAGTGAAGCAACTTTCCTCACATAGTAGAGAGCTAGATTTGGGTTAGCCACATGTGTCATCTTTTATACTATCACGTTGCTTTTCCTTCACCAGTACAACTGATAAGACAATTGATAAAAATACTGATACTATACTTGAGATAGACGGCTTAGGATATAAATGCGATAACGATACACCTCCCAATGGACCTCATCAAGCATGTTTCCAGCTCAACTGTTTTTTTCTCTCATCATCTCAATCGAAAGTCTTCACTTTGATAAAAGGGTAGATAATGAGGTGAAGGTCAGGCAATGGTTCATTATGTCATATTGGACAAAAAAGGAACTCCAATAAAAAAGGTCACTGATCAGGGACAAGATGGAAATCACTGACAAGTGAAAAACTTTTATCATTATGTTGCAAGATGCCCTTTGGTGGATAAAGTGCTGATTGTGTAGATATTTATGTGCTTCCAACCTGTAACAGCTAAGAAAAGTTGGCATTATAAACTTATCTTGCTGATTTTAAACATTTAGCTTATTAGTTACTTACTTTTTTTATACAATACTTTATTTAAAATAAGAAAATCAATGAATTTACCAAGCTACATGATGTATAAACACTGCATTGTTCGTTGAACTAAAATGTGGTAGTAATGGATCAAGTTTAGAATAGAATAGAAAATCCATTTATTGTTCCACAATTGGGAAATTCTGGTGTTTACAAAATTCACCAAGATATCACATATAAAGGCACATTTTATTAGCTGTCATAGTTAAAAAATGTTGATACACGCACCAAAGATTGTTGCTATCTTTATCGAAAGGTTATTTGTAGGAAAGTTTTTTTAATCAGTAATTTCCGTCACGAAAATAAGCGCTGTTATGAAAAACCAATAAGTGCAAACAGCAAAAGAGCGAATTAATCTCTACTCAGAGACCTTCTAAAAGCAGCAGAAGTCTTGGGGAAAGTGCTGCTGACCTCTTGAGCTGTAACTATGTTTTGAATTTCAGAGTTTCAATCATTGTTTAAATTGCTTGAAAAGAAAAATGCTTGAATTGAAAAAAATAAATTTCTCTTAAATGCTTTTTTTCACTGTTTTATATCTAAGGCAATTTTGGATTTAAATGTTGGAGTTGGTGGAATCTTCTGACTTGGAAGTTCTTTATTTGAAATTCAAATTAATCTTGGCATCTTCGAAGTTAAAAACTGCAACCAATCCTTCAACCAATCATAATTTTTTTATCATCATGAAATTAAATATTTTAAAATGTCCATCCGGTGGTACGAGGAAGACCATTTACCCAAGGGGCTGTAAAAGGTTAGATCCAGTGCTGTTGATTTCCTTGTTTAAAGTTTTCTTCAACGGTCAGAAATCTACACGCCCAAGTACCACTGTGTTGCAATGATAAATCAGTTTGCTGAACACACAATGCCACCACCCTTGGTAAACACACACACACACACACACACACACACACACACACACACACACACACACACACACACACACACACACACACACACACACACAAGTTGAACAGAAAGGCAAGCATTCAGTTATTCATAAAGAGTTTGCCTTTGATAATACCTTGGGAAAAAAACGAGCTTGAAACAGCCACATCATCACTTGGTCAGATGACGAGATAAGAGTGCACGGCTATAAAGAAGCATCAGAATAGCAGCAGGACGCTCCTTTCTGCACAGTTGCCCTCACACAGTCACCATGACGTTCAACGGCACCTGGAAGGTTGATCGCAGTGAGAACTACGAGAAGTTCATGGAGCAAATGGGTGAGCTTTTGGAGACATTAACCTCCTCAGAACTGATAAGATGTTTAATGAAGGACTGATAATCTGATAATCAAAGTTCAATGTGTCAGCAATGAAGTCTGAACACAGTTTTGATTGCAAACTATTGGTTGCTTCTGTTCTTGACTTGGTTTTTGCACCTACTTTGAGACAACAAAGACACAAACTTAACCAACTGAACATGTTCAATGTGTCTGATGATAGGAGTTAATATGGTGAAGAGGAAGCTCGCTGCTCATGACAACTTGAAGATCACCATTGAACAGACTGGAGAGAATTTTCATGTGAAGGAGAGCAGCAATTTCCGCAGCATAGAGATCAACTTTACCCTGGGGGTCACCTTCGAGTACAGCCTGGCAGATGGAACTGAGCTATCAGTAAGAAAAAAGGACTATTACTCAAGTAACTTCTGTTATTCATATCTGACAGCTCAAGGCTGCACCTTCATATCTGTATTAATGATTGATTAGGTCCTACAGACTTTAACAACAGGATTAAAAGCAGTCTTCCCTCTGAGTCTTGGTCAAAATATATATCTATATAGATATATATAGATGAGAGATATATAAATATATGTTTTTTTTAACCCACAGGGTGCCTGGAACATGGAGGGGGACACACTGAAGGGGGTTTTCACCAGAAAAGACAATGGAAAACAATTGACAACAGTCAGAATCATCCAAGGAGATGAACTCGTTCAGGTAAGGGATCTCAATTCGGTTGCTATGCAAGTCTGAGCGCTTCACTTTAACAAAGTAAAGTACCATTTTACCTTCCAAAATTGTCTGAGGTTGTAAGCTCTAATGTAGATTTTCATATTTTTATTTCCAACAGAGTTACAGCTATGAAGGTGTGGACGCCAAGAGGATTTTTAAGAGGGGTTAGGTCCATAAGCTCCAGGAAATGAAACTAATTTGTGTTTGATTTTAGAATTACGTATAGTATTTTGTTGAACTGTCACATTCTCTAACAGTCAAAAGATCCAGGTTTACAAAGCACTTTTATACCTGTATTAATACAATTAAAACTGCCTATTTTCTGATTTTTTTCAACTGTTTTGTTTTTTTGTTTTTTAGTGAAAACAAAATATCTTTGGAGCTCTGGGAAATCATAACACACTAATAGTGGTACAGCCATTAAAACTTTATTCAGCAATAAGTAAAAATAAAGTCATATTATCTTCAATAGTAAAAGATGAAGACATGTTTAACAATAAATATTTTGTTGAAATAAATCTGCAATTTGACATGTGAGAAAGCATGGAAGGGGTTTTTAATAGCTCACCAGAGCAGAGCAGACAGCGGCATAAAGGGAGGATCCAGTAAAACTCCTGCATGGTATCTGAAAAGTTACAAGACCCAAGAGCCTGGACAGGATCGGAAAAGATCTTTGACATGATGTGGAAAATATCCTCTTTAGCTCCGTCACTGGGGTTGATGAATATAAAGGAAGTTGATTATGACGCAGTGTTTTAAAACACAGGATATGTTTTACAGCAACACTGTCAACGCTGTCAACGCACACAGAGCCAACCCAAAGTTAAGTAAGCTAGAATGGTGAATAGTTAATAATGAACCAACTTTAATTTTCCAAGGTTAACCTGTAACACCTTTAAGAAAATTAAAACCTATTCAAGACATAAAACAAGTGGCAAAAAAGATAATCATAATGTATGCAGAGAAATTATGTTTATAATAAAATTATAAAGTTGCTGGAGTAATATTTCATGTATGATGTGTAATTGATCTACAGCAATTAATAGAAAACACTGAAACTTTGTATTACAGAGATAACAGAGTAGACGAGTGCATTGGGCTCTCCATACGATCTTAGGCTCTGGCTGTACAAGTTGCAGGAAACAGCCTTATGAACGACCATGAATCAAGAAACGCATTCTTATGACTGCAATAATTTAATCAAACCTTGAGTAAGCAAATGCATTTATTCTATATACAGACCCTTTATGTTTAATAACAAACACACATAAAAGTGGATGCTACAGATTTATTCTCTGCATATTAAGATATAGTAAACTTTTCCAACCGTCTGATTTTGTTGCTTGCTGTCAGAACCGTATCCATCCAGAAAAGAGATTTTAAAAGTTTTTGGTACAAGAAGTAATATGTCTGATGCGTTTTACATTTCATCATATCACAACCAGGAGCTACAGGGCATTCTACTTTGGTTTAAAGACATATATGAACACAATGTGGTGAAAAACTGTGGAAAGGAAAAAAAAAAGTCTAGCTTTTTGTATTAATCTTTAAAAAAAATTTCAGTGCAACCGTCTGTAAGAGTTTGTTTTCGGTAAGAACAAAGAACTAACATCATGAAGACACACAAAAAAAAAAACAGCAGCAAGGCTGAGGAAAAAGTAATGACAAAATTTAAAGCATTTAGGTTATAAAACAAAAACATTTCATAGAGTGCCGTTTAATCCATCACCTAAAAACAGAACCAGTTTGGCCCAACAAAGTTGTGAAAGTTTTGCAAATCTAAGACAATGGTTTAAAAAAAAAAAAACAAAGCACAAAATGTAGAGCTTTGCAACATTGTAAAGTTTTAGATCAAAGTACCATGTTTTAAAACCACCCAACATAGTTTGTTGATAAAACCGAGAACCATGGATGGACTTAAAAACCAACTACATACTGTACATTCTTTCCCTTCAATCTATTTCGCCTGCAGAATTGGAAAAACATTTTAGTCAATAGATGTGCAAACTTCAGAGAGACTTTCCTGTAAATGCTTACAGCTAAAATTTTATTACTTTACACCGTAGCTTCTGGCTGTAGCTTAAAAATGAACAAAAGATGAAAGTATTTTCTAGTGTACTGGCAACTGAAAATTGTATTTCGTTTTCTCAGACATACGTGTTGCACTGAAAATGTAAAGGCACCGCTGAAACAACCAAAGACGCAACATTTCGTTTTTTAAACAAAAAGAGATGAAATAAAAAAAAAACAAAAAACAGCAGTTTATGTACTCTGATGAATACAGTATTGCTGTTAATTGTCCAAAAATCTCAACATTTACTTCTTTAATAATATTCTCACTACAGTTGATCATCACTGCACTTTAATAAGTTACCAATTAGGATAAAGCCTGTCCAATTTAACCTAGTGTTTTGCAGTGCAAGAGCTGTTTAAGATCATTAGGAAATCAGAATATTCATGCTTACAGGACATTCCAAAATTAATCTCTAAATGTTTTAATTTGGCGTTTGATAGCACTAACACGGCACACACACACACATTTATTGCTTCGTTGAGCTTGTGGAACGAATACCCTGGATAAAAAAAAAAAAAAAAAGGAAAACAAACAACAGATTATGTGCAGTATGGTGATTGAAACAAAAATTGATTTATAAATATGTTTATCTGAAATTAAAACAACATAAAATCTTATGTTCTTGGAGATGAGGAGAACATATTCATTACAAAGACTTATTCCACCAACATGTGCACTGGGAATCATCTTTAAAAGATTTTTGGTGAATGCATAGTGTCCTGGACAGTCAGTAGGCTTCCAGCAAACTGTTTTCAAATGCATAAACAACGACTGTATACGTGTGCAAGCAGGAGAAGAAAAAATACCAACATTCCACCTTCCAGATCAACCGGGGTTACAAACTGCTATTTAATTAATCAATTTTATTACAATTAGATAGAATCTCTTATGACGCTAAGAGGACTCGAGAGTCCAGCATTTTCATGCTCATGCTGCACATACAGCTAGTATGATTTATAAAGGCCACATGCAGGTTTCACAACATCACTGTTCTGAACAGAACAACAAAGTGTGTTGAGTTATATAGTTAGTAATATAATCAGATGGGTCCGTTACGTTATGAAAATACCTGCAAATATAGATCTGTTTGGATTTCTTTACAGAGGAAGACAGGATTAAGTACAGAAAACAGTTTACAAGAACCAGCCGGGTAAAAGAAAATACCAGGATGTGTGATTTGGACTTTTAGTGACCGACCTGAAGGCTGCCCCAGCTAATGATCCCCAGATTATTTAGCTGTTATTTATTGATCACCACAAACTGAATTCTGTCATGCAAAGTTACATTTCAATGAACCAAAAATAAAAACAAATTCAATAGTCAGCTTTATGTTTACTAGTCATTTATATAAACCAGATACCAGAGTAAATTTTCACAGCAATACTGGGTTGTCTGCTTTGGGGCAGCCGACAGTCAGACTTTAACTTTTTAAAAGTTTATTAAACAGCTGGTAAACGCTAATGCATCAGTAACTAACCATGGCTGCTGAGAAATATCTAGTGACAGTGAAAAAAATTAAAGTATACATAAAGTTAGTGAGCTGCCAAGGTTTTGACAAAAAAAAAAAAAAAATATGCCTGATCCATTCTAATAATGACTGCTGTGATGCTGTGAAGTTAAACTGGGACTTTTTGCTCTGCTTACACAACCATCACACAAAATATATTAAGTACACTTCTTTTTTTAATTTCAAATTCCTCTCTGTTGATGAAACATTTTTACAGATTTCATTTCCCTTTGTTTACAATGTCCACTCATGATTTGTTAGCTTGCTGACTCATAAAGAAACAGCCTCTAAATCTTATGGTTCTTTTAGTTTTATGAGAGAATATCTAAAGAAAAAAAAACATTAAATAAAATAATTAACTGGTATGTCAGTGGGTGAAGTATTTGGTCCCAATGAAGCCAGAATTTATCCTCCCATTGACTGGTTTGGAGATCATGTGACAAATTTCACTCAGGTAATGGATAAGTTATCTTATCCGGGGAGCGGCGGCCTAGTGGTTAGGGCATTGCGCTTGGAATCCAGAGGTTCCGAGTTAAAGCCCCACTTCCACAGACTGCCACTCTGGATCCCTGAGCAAAACCCTTAATCCCACACTGCTCCCACACTGCAAAAACTATCTAGAAATAAGTAAAGATTTCTCAAATGAAGTGTATTCATCCTTAATTTGAGTAGGTAAATAAGACTTGCCAATGGAATAAGATTTTTAACTCTTAGAATAAGATAATTAGATAATACGCACTTGAAATAATTGTTGTTTCTTAATTTAAATGTAATTTGTCTTGTTCTATTGGCAAAATGTCTCACCTTCCTCCTCAATTCAAGACAAAATGCTCTTACTTTAAGGAAAAATTACTTATTTAGATAAAGATATATTTTTGCAGTTCTGGGCACCACACAATGGCAGCCCAATGCTCCCCAAAAGAATGGGTTAAATGCAGAGAGTTGATTTCATTGCTTTGTACTTGTGACAGTGTAATGACAATAAAGTTGAATTCTATTCTATTCTATAACAGATCCGCCTGATCTGTTAGGCATATCTGTTATAGATCCACCTAACAGCATCGGTTATAGAATATATTAATCTCAGCCATTCGTGTATGGCAAAAACACGTGAGTCCTGAATTAGGTCAATCCAAACCAACCTCTCCACCAGGAACAGAACAAATAACTAAAGGGACGAGGCAGAGGATCTACAAGAGGCCGGAATGAGACCATCAATGGGAATCATTAGATTAGCAGACTTAGAGAAGATGAAAGGTGTTCTCTCAAAGAAGTCTACCCAGAACTTTTATTTTTAACCACTTAGCCCTAGATAGTGTGCAGTGGCAGCTGGTGACTTTCTCCAGTGGTCTGTGTTTGTGAGACGTTATACGCTGGATAAGTCACCAGTTCATCACCAGAAAAGACAAACAGGATAACCATCCATTTTACTTCAGTACATGGCTGCTCCAGAAACACACGTCAGTGGTAAGAAGGAAGTGGCTGAAGATGAATCAAACGGAGGTAGAAAGTGGCCTCAGTTTTCTCTAGACCTAAATCCTGCCAAAGCTTTCTGAAGGGAACTGAATCTCTGACTTGTCAGATAAAAGCAAAGATATCTTGAAAATTAAGTTTTCTTATTTATTTAAAAGGCTGAAGGACCAAACTTCCTGGGCGAACATTGTGACCAAACTACTTACATATAGATGTGAAGTTTGTTTTTTTTTCCTATTATTTATTATGATTTATCAGAGGATCAATCGTTCAGTTCCCTCAACAGCTTAGAAACCAGTTTATAAATTTGTTTATTTTGGTTTGACATTCAGTTCTTCTTCGCTGAATTCAGATTACCATATAATTTAGAGGCTGTTCATTTATTACCAAGTGAGCAACACAGACAAAATCAACAGATATCAGAAATGCATTCCCCCTGTACAGTGAAATCCATAATATTTAACAGATTTAAAGAAACCTTTTCATTTCAACAACAAAATATTTCTAAATAAGTAATTTTAAAGTTTTGAATAATTTATGTGGAGTCCTGTACTGAACATGAAACCGAATCGAAACACCAGAGGAAACATGAAGAAAGTGGGTCAGCTATTATACGAAAGATTTGATGTTTTCAAACCGTTTTCAACTTTCCTTTACCTTTTCAGACAGGTTTAAATGATTTTTTGTTCCTTACCAAAAAGTTAAAAAAAAAATATATATATATAAAATAAAAAAACATTTAAATCTAAATCTGCCATGGCTCTATCTAACTGTATTAGAGCTTTGCCTGTTCTTTAACCTTTCTGCAGAACTCATCCATAAATAAAACAAAGCAAGACAAACCTGACATGATGTGTCAAAAAAAAAAAGTCCCAAAAAAAGTATAGAACAAACCAATTTCAATTCAACACAACAGGACAGTGGGAGATATATGTAAAAGTCGATCATCTGTTAAACAAACACTCAACAGCATTTAGAAGAAGGTTGTATTTATGAGACAAGCTTGCATAAACAGGTTCCACCCAGTCTGGAGACATCGGGTGGGGGGGGCTTCTGAATATATTTCCATTCTGTAAACTCTTTGGCATCCAGTCGTGCTGTCCATTCATGTAAACAAAACTTACCAAGTCAACACTCATAAAAAACCTCGCTCATCCAGTCCTTTGGCTGTCACTGGCTTCCATTTTGCAGTGGGTTTATTGCTATTATGGCCTGTGCAGAAAAAAAGATGAGAACTCTGTTGTTAAAATGTATTTTATGGAGGTTCTCAGGGCAATAGCTGATCAGAATTACAGAGTACTAATTTATATAGCTATTTCGTTCTGTTTGAATGTTTATCTTTCTAAGTCTTACTTGTTTCTGGTCGGCCTTTCGGCACATCATGTGAGTGTGCATCACTGGAAAGTGTGTGGCTGTTATCTCTGCGCTCACTCTCAGCAGCTGTCCTTGGCACTGTGGCAGAGAGGACCAGAGGCCTCTGGTTGTGGTACTTGAGGCGGTACGTTTCCGTCATACAGTTGTCGACGTTAAAGTATGTGGTCAGAGAAACCTCTGGGGCCTGCGCTGCCTCGTCAGCTCGGCTCCCCGGCACTCTCTCCTCGCTCTCACATGATGACTGAGTGCTCCTTTCTGGGTCGGACCCGGACTTTGAGCTCGCATCTGAGAAGGTTCGGAGGCTGGAAATGTCAGGCCTCCTTTTGGGGCTGACGTATGATGAATGGGGCGTGTGAGGGCTCGTTGGAAAGGGTTCCTGAAGCATTCTGGGGCGAAACGCTGCATGGCTTGTTTCGCCGTGGAGCGGAGAAGCCTGCTGGTTGGGTCTAAGGTAAGGTGACCCTGCTGCACCGAGCTGAGTTTCTGCTGTCACGCTGCAGGGCGGGTGGTATGGCAGGTCTACGTGGGGACTTGGGGAATCGGAGGTGACAGCCTCGCTGTTACTGGACAGGTAGGTGCTTTCTCTGTCCTCCGACTCCGAGAGAACAAGATCATCTGAGCTGTTCCACTCTGAGCTGCTGGTCTTTGTGATGTGCCTTGGGGTGCTGTTCTCCCTGCCGTGTCCTCTACAGTTAGTGGGATCCTGGTGCTCGCTCTGCCTGCTCTCCGATCCGGCTGAACTCTTAGCTTTTCTAGATGTGTTAGACGTGTATTTTGATCTCTGTCTACAAGGGAGAAAAAGCAGGTAAGGAAATCTTAGAAGTTATCGTGTGCAGTTCTTTACAGCGTCATGCAAATGTTTCATTTCTCAAAAGCTTTTTCATTCTTTGTCTTTTTACACTCAAAAGACATCCATGTTTTATTAGCAAAAAGGAAAAGTACAGTTTGTAAATGTTCACTTTTTTTTAACCAAATGAAATCTAAAAGCATGGCATGCATTCAGCCACTTTTTAGTCTTTACCTTCGATGCAGTTTACGTTTGTTGCTTTCTGTCCCAAAGATAAATAATTATCTCCTAAAAATTTCTTAAACTTGGACTGATTGGATAACAAACATATTTTTCATAGATTTTTTTTAAATATTTACACCAATTCTATTGTATTTAGGTCTGTACTTTGAGCCATTCTATGGTTCCATTTAACACCATGTTGTATGTTTAAAGGGTCAACCCCTTCCTTGTGTCTTTTGCCAGTTTGGAAATAACCTCAGCATTTCTTTTTTTATGATCTAAAAATTAATTAAACTTCTCCACAGTACTTGAACTCTGTAGTATTCCTTGGTTCTCATGATTTTCTTTACTGAGAATCAACAAAACTCAGAGGCCTTCACAAAACATATGCAACATAGTTATATTGAATTTATTTAGATATCTAAATAAAGGATGGAAAAAAAACATTACATGCTCAAGTTTTTCAGTTTATTTTTTTCTTTGGAATAGAAAAATAATACCATCAAAACTAATCTTTTGTACCAAGTCGGACTGAGTAAAAGTAATTTAGAGCAAATTATGCAGGGTTTAAATAAAACAAAGCTCATTATCTTTTGGTTAAATATCTCTTTAATATATTGCAATTTCAAACAACCAACAGTTGTTTTGTATTTTTAGCTTTTAATATAAAGAAAAACATTTAATATAGATGCAGCATGTTTTTTTTGTTTTTTCACTGGACATTATTTGATGGAAAAAAGAAAACAAGATGAAAACCCTGATATTTTCCAAGCTACTGCCAAGAAAAGTTAATCTAAAAACATATTTATGTTTTTTTAAATGTGATTCTGTTGGGGAAATTCAATCAAATATTCTTAGGAAAAAAAACTCACAGAGCTTCTATAACTGGTATTTGTTATTAAAACACATTAGTTGCCTCTTCATTTCATTTTAGGGTGCAGACACCTGGTCAAGGGGATACACTCCTAGGATTGCTTAGAGAAGCTTCCTTTGATCCTTCAACTGAGGGAAAGAAAATATCTCCTCAGCATACAATTATCCTTTAATTCAACACTTCTTTTCAGTGGTTGGAACTTCAAATCTGAAGTGTTTTTAATTAGTACGAGGATTAGATTTGACCATAGACAGGGGTATACTAGGGATGTACCAATGTAAAAATACTATAAATACTAAAATATACTGGAATAATATTGCTGTTATGGTCAATGACCGATATTTACCAATATCATACATTTTCACAGCCTTTTTGTACATCATATAATCACTTTCACACAACCAAACAACAACCACATAACCAGAAGTTACTCACCGATATGTATAAACATGTCCAACACTGGCTGATAACGATATTAATCCTGCTACATTTTGCATCCCTTTTATAAGCAGCACTAGCTACATTTATTGGTACATCTTTAACATCTTTCCAAAGGTTATGTTAACTCCCTCTGTATCATCCCTACTGTATGGTAAACTTGGGTCCCCTTTACGTCTAATGTTTGGCTGCTCTCCAACATTGTTCTTTTTAACGGATTGCTCTTATGGCTGACAATAGCAAGTTTAGGGAAGTGTTTTTTTTTTTTTATGTAGCCACTTCCTGATAAAAAAAACAACACATCTGTCTTTTAGGAACCTCTTCTTTTGTCCTTCACATTTTAAAGAGTCTGGAAGAGAATCAGGCCCCATTCTGATTACGGTACTTTTTTTTAAATCATAATATTCTATGTGAAACATTGAGATTAGCAATTTAATAAACGCATTGAATTAATTGCACACTATATAGCTACACTACAATTGAAAGGTTGACCTTTTATTAACAAGGCTTTTTAAACATCATTACAGGTGCTGACAATATGTGAGACAGCGCTGTGAATAAAGCACTTATAGATATCTAATGGAGTGGTGGCCTAGTGGTTAAGGCATTGTGCTTGGAATCCAGAGGTTCTGAGTTTGAGTCCCACTCCCACAGACTACCACTTTGGGTCCCTGAGCAAAGACCCTTAACCCCACACTGCTCCACCAGGCGTCGCACAATGGCAGCCCATTGCATCCCCAAGGGGATGGGTTAAATGCAGAGAGTTCATTTTGTTGCACTGTATTTCTTACAGTGTAATGACAATAAAAAAAAAATCTATAAAAAAAAGCTGATTCCACAAGACAAAAATGATCTTGAGAAAAAAAGAGTAAAACTTCTTCAAATAATTAAATTTACCCTTAATTTAAGTAGGTAAATAGGATGATCTTCCAATGGAATGAGCATTTTTACACTTACAGTAAGATAATTAGGGCTTAAACAATTAGTCAGATTAATTGTGATTAATTGATCATTGAAATAATCATCAACTAATTTAGTACCGGTAATCTATTAATCGTTAACTGGAGTATAGAGACTGTAAAACATGCCTTTAGCCGAGCAATAATAATACAAAATTGTAAAAAAAAAAGTGAACTTTAGCATCCATCCATCCAATCTGTCAATCTGCTCCTCAAGTAGAAATAAATCTATTTTATTTAATAAATTTAATTAAAAAAAAAAACTTATTTAAGGAATGTTTGGCTATACAATTGTTGATCAATTAATCGAAAAAATAATCGACAGATTATTGCTCAATCAAAAAAAAAATGCATTTATTGTAAAGAAAAATTGACTCACTTAGATTTCAATTTATTGGATTTAGCTATACCTGCAGGAGTTAAAGTCAATCTTCACTTAGAAATAAAGCCTAACTACCAACAAAGTGCCTATAATAAACCCCAATAATTAACAGATAGGGACAGTACCTTGAACCCGGACTGCACTTTAGTTGAGAGTGTGAAGCTTGATCAGAGTTCCCCTGAGGTTTAGTTTGATGTTTACCTAAGAGGCAGGAGAAAAAAAAGCAAAGAGATGAAAAGTTACAATTCAATTCAGTTTATTTATATAGCGCCAATTCACAACAAATGTCATCTCAAGGCTCTTTCCAGTTCACCAGATCATACAATCAAATGGATTCAAAGTTTTCTATTTAAGGAAAACCAGTTGATTGCATCGACTCATTGACTCAAAGGCAATCCCTCACACTAAGCATGCTTACAAAAGACATATTTGCATCAGATGAACATTATGTCAATAATCACACAAACATGAATGAAAAAGCAGATTAGTGACTGAAAGAAATCCAATTTCTTTCTCTAAATTTGGAGATAAACTTATGTAAAATTTTGTTAAAAATAATTCCAAGCCTGCCTAAAATATAAATGTAACTCTTTAATCAAAAGTATCAGATATATTGCAGTTGAAACATTTGAGCCTAATCCTCTTACCCAACTAAGGCAGGAAAGCACAAAACTTTACATGTACCTGATTTAAATGCTGAGCTCAGTTTGAACACTAGGTGGCAGCAGTTAATTTAGAACGCTAAAACCACTCAACAGCAAAGACATAAGGCTTAAAAAAATTAAAATTAATAATATATATATATATAAATAAAACCCTGAAGAGATTTATTCAAATACTAAGACTTTTTGTGTTGTTCTTAAAGAACAGTCTTGCTTTGGATAATGCAAGACAGTGCGTGCAACAGAATGCTATTTGCAACAGAATGCTATTTGTGACAATGTCAGAGGCTGTGTCCAGCTGCGCTATCTGAGCTTTGTGGGATTATCATCAGATTAATGTCTGTGCCGGGTAGATTGGGGCATAGGGGTAAATAACAAGTTTAGGAGCAGCAATCAACCCAGAGGTTTTGCAATCTTTTATACTCTGACAGCATCAGATGACGTTACACAAAATTTCTAGGGGTTAAAAATAACAGTACAGAAGTTGCCATCCAAGCATCCCAGAAGTCCTACTTGTCCTTACCAGATAGAGGTAGGTAAAAAATAAATTGTTTTTTTTTTTTGCCTCTCCAAAAGGTTCTGCAGACAAGTTACAGGAGAGAAAAAGAATCCACCTTTACTGTCAAGCGTTTGCTGCTGTGCTCTGTTTTAAATCATGGGTCCTGTTTTACATCTGAAGTTGGTGGCTCATATTATTTGGCTTCCTCTTTCAACAAATTATTTTTAGCTCAAACTGATGTTTCCTAAAGCAGACTAGACAGCAGCACTTCAGTACCAGCTGCAAGTTATGTCTCTCAGGGTTCAGTGAATAGATAAAAACTTCCCTGATTTTTATTTATTTAAACTGTTCTATTGATGTATCTGAAATGATTATAAACTAGTATTAGAATAAGAAATTCAAATTATTAATATAGATTATTCCCAGTTGTGTATGTGTCATTAATACAGCCGATTTCCTTATTACCTATTCAGCTTTATCCCAGCAGGCATTGTTTCTGGTTTACCTTAACCGTTGAAAGTTTACGTGTTGCTCTGAACCTATGAGGTTTGACCCTAACAGGTTTCCATACGACAGTTAATCAGATTTCAGTATGAGCTGTCTTTGCTTTGTCTTTGTTTAGTTTTTTGTTGTTTAAATACAAATAGAAATATGAGATACGTGAAATTACATAAACATAAAAAATATGAATCAAAAGGATCGGCTTCCTTTCAATCAGTGTCTATATCTTATTTGTTTATCACTAACTTTGTCTCACAAAGAGCTTCATAAAGTCAACAAAACTCGGAAGTTATTTTCACCTTAAATAAGTTTTAGTCAACATCAATCTACAATACAGTGAGGTGTGCTCCCCGTAGTTAAAGAAATTAAAGGAGTAGATCCACAGCTGCTTTATCAGGATTACAATAACAATGATCAGCTAGAAACTTTATAAAAGTACAGAAAACATTTGGACTTACTGTTGTGGGAAAGAGATGATGTTATACTTGACTTTGCAACGCCTTCTCTTTGATGCAGCTGACTGAAACGTAAAATGACATAACAGCATTTTCTAATTTTCTCCACTCGTATTTTCTTGATGGGTGGTCAATAATAATTCAAATTAGGGAGATAACAAAAGGGAGACTTTATCTTTGTTTAATATAAATGACTATCATAGTTAGGATTAATTACACAGATGTATGTGGGTGTATTTCCCGACAAGATTGCAACAGTATTCACTAGGACGAGAGGTGTTTTACCACAACCTGTCCAAGTATGGTGCTTTCAATGAGTGGACAAAGTTTCCAGCTGGCCGATCTGGTCAATTTTCGGCTTCAATGATCTCTGTGTTGTTCTATCAAATGAAATGCACTTAGGAATTAGACTTCTCTCACCTTGGTAAAAGGACCTCAGGTGTTAACCTCTGATCTGGTTTGAGGCCGAAGCCATCAACCCCAGGCGAGTCAGGGTTGGTGGAGCCGCTGCTGAGCCGATCGCTGCTCTCGTAACCGGACTCTGTCCTCTGAATGGTCCAGGTGTCGCTGCGCAGCAGAGTTTTTGGGACACCTTTGAGCTTGCTTCCCCGCTGCTGGCTGGCTCTGCTCTCGGACTCCACTGAGCTGTGGCTCTCCGTCTCGTGACGCTGCTCGTCCTCATAAATGGTCATTAAGCACTTCTGTTTACGGTCTTCTCTAGCTTTTGCATGTTCGCGCTCCCTGCCTGGTTCTGTGCGACTTCTTTCCTGGGAAGAAGGCTTGCTGTCCTGCTGCTGCCGCCGCTGCTCTAGTTCATTCAGTACTGTGTCTACATTCAACACCTCCCTGATGGGTCTCCAAGTTGACTTTGACCTGTTTTGGCTCCCGCTGCCTCCTTTCTCCCAGTGTTTGTTGCTACCCTCCTGCTCATTACGTCCTGGGGAAATGTTGGCCTTTCTGATGTGTCCCCCACTCTGTGTGCTGCAGGACTGTCCATGGGGATCCTGAGATGCTCTGCTGGAGTGATTTGATGACTTCTCCGAGCGTAGGTAATTCTTTATTTTCTCCACAGGAGGCCTGGGCCCGTTCTCTGGAGGAGATGAAGATCTCGTATGAGTCGTCTCTGAAGAAAGTCGACAAATGTCCTTAAGAAACCAACAGTTTCTCTGCCGTTCAGATTTGTTCTGTGCTCCCTGCCTTTTTTAATGTTGTCCCTCCTGCACCTACCTTTGTGTTGTGAAGCCTCAGATCGTCGATGTCCTCTGTCCTTCTTTGACATTTCACTTGGTCTTTGTAAATTCTCCATAAAAGGATCCTGAAATTTGCGAGGACTCCCAAAGGGATGTTTGACTATGGACAGAAAATAACAAAGAGCAGATGAATAACAGGTTTACAAACTACATACTGCATTTAACAGAGGAATGGTCAGTATTAGAAAATCTTGCAATGCTGAAAATATTGAAAAGACTTTTAAATATCAGCTGTGATAAATGTATTTTTTGTTATTTTTTATTGTTGAATTTGAACAGCTGAGCTGAAAATGTCTGGACTACATCACTTCTCAAATCGACCACAATCAGATTCTTGAGAACATTTAACAAAGAGAAAGTCATGCCAGCAATAATCTCTGAAAAATATTTGCAAAATAGCAAAGAGAAGAAGAAAGTTTTAGATCATACACAGGTGCAAACTATGCTCTTCGAAATATTAGTTCAGGCACTAAAGCATCAAAACAGAATGAAACAAAATTTTAGTCAAAGCCTCAACCTCTCTGAGGAAGACTGGGTTATTGCCCCATGTTGTGCTAAATAGTCTAAATCTTAAAGATCCTATTAATGAAACATATATATACGGTATATATAATTATATAGGTTAATATATGCTATTAATTAATATATATATATATATATATATATATATATATTATATACACTAACACATATATATATACATATACATATATACACACATATACATGTATATATGCAGCGTAAGATATACTCTGCATTTAATGCCAGACAGTATATATGCGTTTTCAGAAGAGATTTAAAAACACAGATTGTTGAACCCTGTTCAAGGTCTGTTGTTGTAATGTGCCTTAATATGGGAGCAGTCTCACAAGGCAGTGCTTTTACCTGTAACCCCCAATAAATGTGTGAAAATAGAATATAGATAGATATGAATCAACTTTGGGCAAAACTGGACTCTGTAAATCAAAGGATGATTAATTACAGTCTAAACCTAAAAACACAGTCATTCATTGGCTCCATTTGTTTTATGAAGGTTGGGTCCTATAAAAAGGAGCCTTTCCTGTAAGTGAATTTGTCAGACAGGACAAATATAGAAGTAGCTCAAATAGATTTCCAGATTCACAGATCCCCATCCCCACCCTCCCCTCTCTGTCCTTCTCCAAATAAAAGCAGGAAACAAAACAAAGTCTTAGAAAAGAACAGATGCTGCATCACTAACAGATAAAAACACACCTCCGCTGCCTCTCCTGCCAAGCCTGCGGTGAGTTTCCTCTGCCTGGCAAGCAGGTCACAGCGAGGAGCAGCCGCGGCATGAACTGCGGGCATCTGCCTTCAGACGAGCGCGTTACATCTAACAGCTGCCGTCATTCACTTTCACATCTCAACTCCTCCTAATTAAATCATTTTCTCTGACTCCATTTACAGCTGCATCTATTTTTACTCAGCTGGTATTGTAACTTTAAAAAGCCTCTTGATCAGGGTGTCAAAAAAAACTAAAAAACAGGATGATAGTTTGAGAACAGAAACTATATCTGAAGCTTAAATCAAAAGGTGGAATAAGGAAAATACATTTGTGTTACTGTTAAAGCAGCACTGATGGATATCCACATGTGATGCTGACATTTAGGAAGTTCCCTTTAAAAGCGATCTTGGACTGAATTCCACCTTTATGTGCCTAACATCTGCCAAGTAATTAACTAATGTACATGCATCATGGCGCCTTTCTCACTGCAGAGACTCAGTTATGCAAAAACTCCAGCAGGAGCCAGCTGGGCTGAATAGCAAAATAAAGAAACTGTAATATGTAAACCTGATTAGAGATTGATCAAGTAAAGAAAAGAATTGCAATGAGCAAAATACAAAAAAGCAAACAATGCCTCTGTTTCCTGTGAAAAGCCCAGATTTACGTACTCACCCTGACCATCATAAAAGTAAGAATTCTGCCCCCTGCCAAAGTGTTCGCGCAACACATTAAAAGCAAAGCAAATCCAACTAAATTGGACTATAAATCCCCCTCCGCTGCCTCCCAAAAGATATGCAGGCTGATAAATAATGGAGGAAAAATGTTTGAAACATCAAGGGGAGGAGTGAGAGCACTTGGCGCTTTGGCCACAGGAATGGGGATTAGGCAGCTAGGCGTGGGTGGTAATCTGCGTGCAACAGAGACATCATCCTCATGTTAGGTCCAGGCCATGGGATGGGGACAGGAAGCATTTCTCTGGGATTTTTAATGGCAGAATCCTACAGTCGGCCATTGCTTCTTTCAAAGAAATTCTCTGCAAGCCAGTGGGTAAAATTCACACTTTTAGGTTTTCTTTCCGTTTATAAAATGGGGCTAGAGAGTGTTGCTGGTTTAATGGCTACATTAACCTTGTAGAATGAGCATACTTAGAAAATTAAATAGCATGAAAACTAGCAGTCATTAAACACATCAGCAATGTGTTACTAAAGAAACAAGCAGAAAGCAGTGAAAGTAAAGCAGGAATACTTAAACCACATTTTATGACACGTCGAGCTGAACTCTGAACTTTACAACTAGCTGTTTACACCAGTGCATGAAGTAAAGATTTAGCTGGATGCTCTTCCAAATGGGTCTGGTTTCTGTTTAACTGGTTACCAGCTGGTTAGAGCTATTCAAATACCAACACACTCTAAGAATGTTATTTACACTCTGTACACGATGGTCTATACATCTATTTATAGCATCAATAAAACAAACCTTTACAGTGTGAGCCTTTTGCCAGTAAAAAGCAAAGAGACACATGGTTCTACTTTTGTCCAAACATGTTACAGAACAGTTTGCCACAGGTTTTGGGAATCATCCAGTTTTGTTTTACTAGTAATTGTGAGAGAGTCTTTAGTTTTCTATTTGTTTTAGCCTGTGTCTCACTATTAAATGTTTTATAATCTGCTTCATCTTTTTATGCATAATCTGTAAGATAGCCAGGAGTCCCTTGTAAATGAGATCTTAAATTTAAAATGGAGCCTCCTGGTTTAATAAATGTTTCAGGTCTTCTACTAATTTTTTATTTTACATCTATACATTTTTCTCTCAGCACCTGCGCCTTTTCTTTTTTTGTAGGTGTGCTCAGAACAAAGAGATAATTTAATACCATAATGTGATTAAAAAACAATACAAAGAGATGATTGTGACATGAAAACAGTATTGAATCCATTTTTAAAAGCATTGCATCACTTTTAATAATCAAGCTTATGATTTTACATCAAGCAAACCCATTTCGATGTTTATTTGCGGAAGTACTTCTTACTGTTAAGGCCTGAAAACACCAGTTGCGTATGACCTTTTAATCCCCGAACCGATTTTATTTCCATGTCACACTGACTGCGTAGAGAGGTTTGGACTTGGCAGGGTGGGCAGATCTGCACAGATTGTTTTCACTTCTGTCTCTGTTCTATCCAAAAATTACAATAATTTCCCACATTTGGAACAGAATACAAAAAGTTATAATGCTGCATTCAATAAAGCAAAGCAGAGTCTGTGCAGCATATCAAACCAAATCAGATAGAGAATGTTCATATGAATATTCAAAACATAATGAGATCTAAGAAAAGGAAAACACAGCAATAAACGCCATAGGTCGGTTTACTCACTGAGACAGAGAGAGGTGATTCTCAGAGAGAAATCTTGGATTTTTTGCTTTCTTTAGTTTCATAGAATTGAGAGAAAAATGCCTAACTTACCTGCTCTTTCTGCTCCTCGTTATTTTGGTTTTTGTGACGCTCAAAGAGGAACACTGTTTTACCCATTTTTTTCTCCTCCCTAAGTTATTCTTTTTTCTAGGGAAATTGATAAACTGCGGTTTCTGTCCCTCGTTGTTTTTGCGAGACTCAAAGAGGATCACTACTTTATCCATTTTCTGTCCTCCTGAATTGCCATTGGAGGTTAAGTATTATATTTTTTAATATTACATTAATTATTTTTGCATGAATCTGTCCCACTTACTATTTAGGCAATGTGCGACTCCAGAACCGACTCTTTCCCTGTGCATTTAAGAGATTATATTTTGTATTTTCCCCCAAAGCGGATGTGTTTTACTTTGTAACTGCGTCTCTCTTCCTGTCAAACCCATGAAGTTGCTGCTGAATTGCTGCATAGTCCAACTAAAATAGACCTTGGGTCTATCTCAGTCCTAATCAAGCCCCCTTGCGTAAAATCGTGTTGGGTGTGGTCATTACCACTGACTTTCAAAGAGCGCTATTCAGTGTTCCTGGCCTTTATACTACTAATAAACCGAGGTAATTGAGGTTATACCTTCAGAATGTAATTTCAAATTAATAGGTTTTGAGAATGCTGGTTGAATTTACTCCAAAACTAATATGTGATGCTCATAATGATCAGTCCTACTAAACTTTTAGCAGCTGGTGTTGACCTAGAATGGACAGAAATTAAATGCATAAGTACATGCACGAAGCCTGAGAACCTTTCCACTAAATTTGACAGCCCCTTAACTACTGCTGGTAAAAATCAGAGCTGCAATTAGTTCACTAGCTAGAAGAGAAGCACAAAAAGCTCCTGTGTTGTGTGTCTTTGAAGGGTTATAGTGAAGTACTCATGCTAATAAGTGAAGGGCGTCCTTACTGGTCACGTCTCCATTTATCTGGGCTTTGTAGTGAGGGCACATGGTGGTTTGTCTCGGTGCATCTTCATTAGAAACTGGACTCCCCTCAGGATTGGTGTAAAACAAAAGAAGTGGCTGGAAATGTCCCCTGATGCATTTTGAAGCGACATCCTTCCATTTGGATCCAATCTAATAAACAGAAGCCTAAGCATTAACAAGGCACATGTGCTACATAACAAAGTGATAGAAAAGGAGCAAATAGCGTTTTTTTACAGCAAAGATCCTAACCTCCTTTACAGTAGCATCATCAAAAAACATCCATTTAGAAGATTTGGTGTGATAAGCAAAGGCTGAGTAATGCTTGCTGGAGAAACAGATCATCCCCACCAGATGTAGCTCGCTGCGTTTGGCATTTTCATCCGTGACTCGGTTGAAAAGCTAAAAGATACAACGTTTGTGATTAAGCAAAAGCATGACGTATCACAGCACAGATATGGATCCCTCATCTTAAAAAAAAAAAAAAAACACATTACTCTTCCATTATTCTTTTACTTTTTTTTTAAATGCAGCTCTCACCCCACACAAGTTTAAACGCGGACCAAGAAACCTGATCACATCGTCCGTGAGGTCAGACTGCTCCGCGTCCCACACAAAGCCGATGGTGACAATCTCTGGGCAGTTCATGAGAACACGACGGATCTTAATGCTCTGACCACAGTCACTCTGCAAAAACAGACAAAAAATATAAGAAAAAACAAGTATAGAAACAAATAAATAAAAAAAATCAGTTTACAGTGATCAGTTATTGCATTCACAAATGAAAGAAGATATATTAGAAACTTTGGTGCATTCAGCTCATGGCAATGTAAAGAAATTACAATGAAATAATACCAAAAGACAATGTTAAATGCTGCAACGGTAGGAAAGAAACACATTGCAAGAAGAAATTGTTTAAAAAAAATTGAAATAAATAAATCATCAATGATTACAGAGAAAAATAATGGCACAAAATGGCAGTAAAAGGTTTAGTTATGTACATGTGCGAAGAAGCAGAGTCCAGTCCAACATTTACAAAGATTAGCTGCGACAAGATCCCATGAATGCTGTTGATTTGGGGGTTTTCAGTCAGAATGGCATCAAAGATGGTATCTTGCTTTGGTTTCCGGGTCTGTTTGTAAAATATCCAAATAGACTTAAAATCATCCGATGAGACCGACTGTTACAGCCTATAGGCCAAACAACCGGAACTCCACATGGAAACATTATTATTGGGCCAAAATAATAAAATAAATTGAGAACAAGACATACAAACAGTTTCTAGTGAAATTGCAAACTGTTAATGACTGAACCTAGATGCAGACTTCCTAAATACAATGCCATATTTCCTCACCCTGCATCCTGTCATTTTTCCCTCTCTAGATCCACAGAAACACAGACGTGCTCCACCTAAACGTCTCTATCAACATCTGCAGAATAAATACTGCATCTTTAGCCCTTTTTCTAGACATGGAGCGTAAAAAGTCAACTGCTGGGAAAAATGACCTCCTTGCATCCGTCTGAGCGTTACCTGAGACCTCTGAGAAAAGTTTTACTGAGGATTAAGCTGTAGTAAACAAGGCTTAACGATCTCTAATTGCTGCCCAGACATCCTTTAATCCTGTCAGACGTTCCTGATCTATGACCTCGGAGGCCAGAGCTGTTTTGGTAGCATGACAATAACCTATTGAGAAGTAGATGTTTGGTTGTTAGCTTGTTATCCAAGGAGTTCAACCTACTTTATTGTTCCAGTGATAGATATATGGGTGATAATGGTTTTCTTTAATAATGAAGGTAATGGCGTGGTTATAATGAAGGAGACGAGGTAAAAGGGAAGCTGTCAATTTACTGCTCGGTCATTGTCACTATATGAATGGAATAGGTCATGTTTTTGTGACATATAACTGTGTGAAACTTTCACCATCTGTAACTGAGACCTAACAATGTCACTACCATCACCCATCCTCCTGCTATGAGGAAGGGCTGGGAAACGTACAAAGGAAGAGCAGTTCTGGTATGGTACGGTGGCGCAAGTTTTCACACCTTGATATCAATTAGGACTATTTTTGGCCACTATCACTCTGCAGCATAGGTGTGGAAGAAAGTTGCTGCAAACAAAAATGAGCTAAAAAGTTCATCAACACGCTTAAAAGTTAAAAAGCTGGTAACAAAAAGGAACTTTTAGCTCATTCTTGGTCTTTAAATATATTTACTAGCCCTATATACCGTATATATAGTTAATACATACAGTAACTACAGTGTGAACAGCCCCTAATCTCAGTTGTTGTAAACAAGCTATATTTCTCATCTGTGAACAACATGGGAATTCCAGAAAAAGCTGGAGAGCATCATGAACGAGTGGGAGATCTGGGTTTCCCAGACAAAAACAAAGCTCAATTATTTTTAGAGCAGGAATGTTACTTAAAGATTTTGAAATCATCTTTATCCACCAAATTCACTATTACTGGAATCCTGCAAACTTTTACCGGTAAACTATGCAAACATTAAATGGACAACAATAAAAACGATCATGATACAAAGAAAATATCCAAACATTTTTCATTTTTTATCCAAACTGGGTTCTTTTTCTGCAGAAAAAAAAAGAAAAAACACTACATATTTCACTTTAACTTGGTCCAATAAATGTGATGATGGAAGATACAGTTTAGGCTTTTCAATTAAGATTCTACTCAAATTAAAGTAGCGGTGTATTATTTAATACCTTAGAAGATAATGTTGGTCTCAAATGAAATAAAAAAACTACCAAGAGGATAGTAAAGGCAGAAAAGAAGAAGGCAAACCTATTTCATCAAGAGCAGACTGCAGCTGAAGGAGATTGGAGAAGATTCATGGGTTCCAGGGAACAGAGCAGTAAGCTCCACTAAACTAATGGAAACTGAAAGGGAAGGCAAAGGGAGCAAATTTAAAAGAGAAAAAAACGGGGATAAAACCTTTACGACTATCCCTATCCTCACTCTTGTTTTGCATCCCAGCCCTTGAGTTGCACAAAAGGGAAAATCACAGGCTCCACTGTGAACCACACAGAAATAAATTCTGCCTCCTTCTTATGTCAACAACAACCCAATCATCCAAAGGGTTCATTCAAAGCCACCTTTAATATAAAACCTTCTCAATAATAAGCTAATTCAGATGGATGTCTGAGACAAAAGTTCAACAGGAAAACATACTGAAGACACCCCAATTAAAATATATAACCTCACAGTTTATGAACTAAAATCTGCGTTATGAGACACTTAGATTAAACTAACGTTTGAAAATAATCTTTAAGCAGCTAATAAACTTAGTTTTCCATAACATTTGTGCATTCAAATCTTTGTACTGGTCTGATGCAACTATTAATCATAAGCAAAAAAAAGACAACAAAAAAAACAATTACCATAAAGTCTTGAAATGATCAGTTTGCGTCTAATTAATCAATGTAATGTTTTCCATCATTTAGTGAATCCATAAATGAGGGTTTAACAAAAAGGACATGTAATACTCCTACTACTTTTAAAAATGTAATTATTAGTCGTTCAAAAATTCTTCATCACAACACACATTCTAATTAATTTACTATGACTATATTTATTTATCTTTTTAAAAAGTCAATAAAAGCATAAACATACAGGGCAGCTTCGGAGGTCACCAGTGCTGTTTGCCGCCTGCAGCAGTTCCCCAAACATGTCCGACCTGAGCCGCTCGTTCTTCCCCAGTGTCCGATCAACTTGTTGGCTGATTAGGGAGACAGAAAGTAGACCCATAGATTACCATACCTTACTAAATATAAACCGCTACTTTCCCCCATGCTTTGAATCATGTAGCTTATTTCAAAATGCGGCTTGTCTGTGGATTTTTCCAAACTGCCAGGGGTAGAAGTTAGAAATCAAAGAAGGGGCTAATTTTCATTTAGCGCAAGCACAGGCCAGCAGGAGGCATAATGGAGAACAAATGTCCCCAATTCACACATTTTGATATTTATTTGCTGCATTAAATCTTTTGAAACAATGTGTGCAACTCCGGCAGAGCTGAAATAAAGAGCTGATGAAGCCCTGTCGCGACCCGATCCGTCCCGGAAGCACGATCCGTACTGCGTATGCGTGAACAGATATACATCCAGGTGTCCATTAATAATGTAATTATGGTACTGAAATTACTTATTTCTATCCTTAATTCACTAAAGAATACTACGGTTATACACATCTTCAAAAAATGTTTCATGACTTTTGTGAGACATTTCTGATGCTTTTCCTTCGTTAAACTGCTTCTCTGACGTCATCATGGGAGATGCTCAGAGCAGTCCGGCAAAATATTATTAAACCATGTTCATATGCTTTTAAGTTGTTTCTTTCTTTGGATTACGCACTATATACCATAATGTTAACACGAAAAGAAAAGATAAAAAAAAAATAATAATAATAGATTTATGTTTAAATCCAAAGCCGAAAACGTTAGCCACCGGAAGTAGCGTAGGATTTAATTTCCGATGCAGATCGGGCATAGCCGAGTGTTAAAACAAAGGATTTTAAGGCATTTCTTTTCTCAGGAAATACATTATTAACCTTTAACACATATTTTAGCACATTTACTATTTTTTGGGGAGGGGGAAATGTCATTAAGGTCTTTTTAACAAAATATAATTGAGGGTGACCCAGATGTATATCTGGATGCTCATGTGCAAATGAGCCGATAGCGGATGCGCAGAACGGATCGTGCAACTGGGACAGATTGGGTAGGTACAAGCCCCATCTTTCATGACAAGCCCTTACTGCCACGAGCCAACAAGCTAACAGGAGCTAGCATTTTTATTTGTCCCTACTCCAGGGGCTATACAGTATATATCAAGGTCCCCCTTCAGGTTTGGTGGCAGACAGTTCATTAAATATCAATGGTTTATAGGCTGGTGCGTTTCATATGTGTAAGTTTGCAGTTTTTTTTCTTAGTGGTTGCGGCTTATAGTGAGGTGCGCTTTATAGTGTGGAAAATGTGGTATACAGGCTGAAAAGTAATTTACTAAAACATTTATTAAAACTGTACTACTGCATTTAGCTCTGTTAATGTCTGTTTTTTTTTAGGTTTGTTGCAATTCATAAATAGGTTTTGCAAACTGATAGAAAAGATGGAAACTCTGCTTCCAATAATACAGATGATGAAGGAGATTGTAACCACAGACATGTTTTAAATAAAATCAATTAGAAAGTGTTACACCTTTGTCTTCAGTTTTCCTATGCTATTTTCACACCAAGCTTTCATAACAAGGATTTGCCATCCTTCAAGGTGAGATTTAAGTGACTGATGTTATTTTAGTCTACTTGCATTTATAGGTTCCAGGAGCACATTTATCACAGCTGAGACCTTTTAAAAGACTTTCTTTTTACTTTAAACTTAACTATAAATCTTTTCTCTTTGGTTTAAATTTAGTACTGCAAACTGAAGGCTCATACCCAAATGCTGAAGTTGCAACTAGTTTTTGGTGTTGTTACTAGGAAGAAGTCTGCTCTCAACACCTCCATGCATGTCAATCAAGTCATGTCTAAGTTTCAACCTTTCAGGTCCAACTTTATGCTTTAACCGCTGTAAGTTAAGTACAGCCAAAGGTGACTGCACTTAATTTGTCTTTAAAATCACCAGGGAGAAGGATTTTTCTTTAACTGAGGTTTTTTAAACATAATACAAACTAACACAAAGTCTCAAGGAAGGTCACCTTTGAAAGTTAATGACTATGAAGACATAAAACTCAGCTTCACTCGACTGAACACGTAAGAAATCATTGGATGTTATTAAGATAGTGAAGGCCAGGCTGCAAATGCTAGGCATTAACGTAATAGTTATGCTCATTAAAAATGATAACTTGATCTATTTATCAGCAACTGAGCTTCCAATCAGTTCTGAATAACAGTAAACTGGACGTCCAAACACTCACCATAAAGCCGTAGTCGACACATAATGAACAAACTCTGTGAAGGGGTGTGGGTCTGAAGAAGCGCCACAACAACGGCACACAAACTGCAAAACAAAAACAACTGTTTTTACTTAGTTATAATATCTACATTGTTGTTCTACACAGTATTTTTACTTCTAACTTAAAATTACTTCTAGAGTTTAGGAGCACAGGATGTACAGATGACTTTGGTTACCTGCTCATAAAGCATCATAGCAAACTTCTGATGAGTGATGCAGGATTTGGATGAGCAAGAATCAGTTGCTGTGTCAGAGACTATGTGCAAATGAATTCGCTCCAGAATGTTCTCCTGTTTGTACAAAATAAGCATAAATACAACACATAAGGTAAGCAAATTTAAAGGCTTTTCTTCTCTAGAAAACCATTGAAACGTAAAGCAAAATGACAAAGTGAATTTTAGTATCTCATCTTAGAGAGATAAGGAGAAAGGGCCTTGAAATATGGTACTGAACAAAAGCCAAATAGACACTGACAAAGCACTCAGCGGCGTCGTCCATCAGGCCGAGTTGGAAACGCTGCTCATTTTTGAAGGTTTCAGCGAGAGCGTTTCTCAGGCTGTCAGAGGGCAGGACTCGCTCTCTGCTCTGCTGGAACTGGTTAAATATACTCTGAAAGAGAAAAAGGCAGCCATTTATGTCTGATTAAATTAAAGATCATAGTATAAAATATATATGTAACATGTTTTGGTATCTTCATTTAATTGAAAAAAAAAATCAATACCTTTAATGCACAGAAAATACAGGCATCTCCAAGACAGAAGTGACCAGAGAGCTGCCTCAGACTCCTCCTGAAAATGTCCAGCTGCCAAAGTACCTGTTCAACAGAAGATTGGTGACGGAAAATTAAAAAACTCTCAAACACCGCTATGATTACTGACAAATCAAACTCGTCCAACTATAATGCATCTTGTTTTCCAAAAAAAATTTAAAAACAAAACCACTGGACTTTTTTTTTTCCCTCCCCAAGTTGAAGACATTTCGCTTCCCATCCGGACAGCGTTCTCAAATCAATATGTCTGGAGTAGCGTGGAGTAGAGACTGACACGGGAGTGGATGTTCATTCCTGCAACACTCCCATTCTTGTTTTTTTTTTTTTTTTTGAGCACGAGTAAAAAACTCAGAGCGGAAGCACTGTTGGTTTTTGGGTCGTGTAGTTTTCTTGGGAATACCGAAAAAATGTCAGTCTCTAGCGTGGAGCTCCAGGCTTTATAGAAATACCCAACAAAAGCCTTGTTAATTATTAGAAAACATAGATAGTTCCTGTAATCTGCAAATTTTCTAAGCATTTCCTCCTACTCAGACATTACTCCAAGGTTGTCCTTGGAAAATCTTCACAAGAATATTGCATCTTGTTGTAAAATTCCACTGATTTAGGCAATCTGGGTGATTGCCTTCAGAATGTGCAACTGTTCTGAGCACTTATTGGATCGGCTTTGGCTTTCAGCTCATTCCAGACTGACCAACACAACCATGCTGGCTGATAGAGTAATATGATGCCAAAACAAGCTGTATTTTTTTCCACATGAAAGACGTGCTCAAATTAATATTCTTAAATTATCTGGTTTAGATTGTGACGCTGCTAAAAAAAATGGAATTTATTGTAGGTGTATTAATTATTTTAATATTTACTCATTTTAAAAAAATCTTTCAAAGAATCTATCTTCCAGAAAACTGCTTCTAGTTTTGCAGTGTCACTGTACAAAACTTACTTCAATCCCTGAAAATCAAAAGTTCCAAGCTTTTAATTTTCATTGGAGTCGTTCTTCAAACTAGCTGCTTTACTTTTTATTAAAAAAATAAATCTCCAGGTGGCTTTTTGATAGTTTTAATATGTTTATTTTAAACCCAAACTCTTTCCCACGTTACAGAATCTAACTTTGGAGATACCTGAACCGCTATAAGTTCAGTTGACAGAGTCGGCTATATTTGTCTCTGGCTGAGTGCTTGGCAAACCCAGCTGATCAAGCTGAAGCTCAGCTGATTCTAGACACTGCTCAATCGATTGGTGGGTCTCAGCTTTTGTTAAATGTACAAAGCCTGCAAGTTCAGCAAAAGCCAACAAAAAAAACAAACAAAAAAAAACACCACCTTGTTAGAGAATTTTTTATGCAAATTATCTTTTTACGGCTGCTGTTTGAGGACCACAAAAGGTCAGACTCAATTCTACAACGGTGATTAAAAAAGGAACGAAAACGAAACTTTTTCCATGCAGGCATAAAAAAAAAAAGTAATGAATCCTGACTCTCACCTGAACAGCGCTGTTGAGAAAGCAGCTGTTCTGGCCGGGCTCATTTAGCAGACCTTTAGTTAGTGCAAGGGACACCATGCTCCCAGGTTGGTAGGACTTCTTTAGACCTCCTCCAGTTTTTTTGAATTTCTTCACCCATGCCATAGAGTTAGAACCTGCAGCTAAAGAAAAAAACAACAACCTGAAATCTTTGGAGGAGATACAGGCTCAATCCCCGACATCGTATTAGTGTTTCATCTCTGAAGAAACGAGACTCTGATCACGCAAAGCATTCCGGAAATACAACAGCATTCATTTTTATGACATGAAATGAAAAAAAGAATTAATTCATGACACGATAAGGGCTCTTGGATGATTAATCCGGGTCATCTTCAACACTGTTTTTATATCAGTGACCTAAGTAATCTCTGATGAATCCCCGCCACCAACCTTCTCCGGAGTTTGCGGGAGACTTGCTGCAGCCGGACATGCTGGAACATGGGAGCTGTTCCTCGGGTGTGGGCACTGATTGCATCCATTTTCACCCCCACGCTCCTCCACAACGGTTCGTGGAAAGCATGTTCGGGATCATCCACAGGGTAGCCTCAGACACTTCCTACTGGGCATTGAACAGCAGCTAATGGGCAGACAGGAAGAGCTGGACTGCATTACTGATTTTAAAACTTAAGATACCATACTAAGTTTTACAAATTTGTTTTATTTTTCTTTAAACATTACATCATGTATTTTCTGTTTAAGAACATAAATCCTTTGATTCATAGACAAAAAACTGAAATCTCGCCTGCTAATAAATAAACATCTCCCTCCCAAGCAGTGGCTTTCTGAGCTCAAATTGAGTTCTTCTTGTTCAAAATTCCTTTACTGCTGTTTAAGTCCTACAATTCGTGTCTAAGATGTAAAGAAATGCTTTCTTAAATCCAGACTCTCTGTTTGCACGTTAATCTCGCTTGAAAGAAATTAGTAAATGGGTTTGGAAAGAGTTTCTGCAAACAGAATCAAATCACAGACTTCTTTTGATTCTGTTACTCATGGAGTTCGTCCCAGAGACATCTGTAAGCAGCAAGCACAGTGTTCAGGAAGTTTTAAATTAGCCAAGCAGGATTCTAACAGGGTCAGAAGATATTTCAGCAACAGCCATTAAATCTTACTGCACAAACATAACTGAAGAGGAATGAGCAGAAGCTAGTAAAGTTTGAAAACCTTTCATCCGAGAGTGAAAATAAGGGACTTTGCTCTGAATGGAAATGTATGCTTGGTTTCTATTTGTGGAATAAGAAAATGATGTAAATACATTGTTTTTTAAGAGAGATTATTTTAGAGCTGGTGTCAAAACATGTAAAAACTGTTTTCCAGAGGTAAAATCTTTCCACTAGTTAATAATTGAAGCTATAGCCTGGGGTGGGCCAAATGTATAGGAGACTCCCTTAAAATGGAAAAAGATTTTCATAAACTTTTAAACCTTTGTTGTATTTGTATTGAATTGTGATTCATATTAAATGATTACTGCCTCTGTGAATCAGAACCAGGCTACCATTTGGTTCCTGTGTAAAACACGTACAAATTATAACAATACCTACAAAAAATGTCCCCTAATTTCCCTCACATAACACAATTTTATGAAATAACATAAAATATAACTTCTGCATTTTTCTTTTCTTTTTTGAATCAATTTTTTTTATCAGATGAAGCCTGGGAAAAGTTTCCATGTTTTCAGTTGTTTCATACAGGAAGCTTATTGCTGGCGCACCACCTCTCACCTTCATTTCCAATGTAAAAAGAAAAAACAAACAAACAATGCATCATGGGATTTCTCAGGTCATGGGATTTACAGCACTTGGTGCATGTTGAGGCTCACTGTCGTTCCTAAAAACTTGTCTATTTAACTTGAGAGGGTCCGATTCGTCACTGAATGAGTCATGTGACGCAGAGCTCCGCTGTTCGGCAATGTGAGCTCTCCGTAAACATGAGAGCTAGCTAACAACCTGGCTAAAATCAACCAGGTTGTTAGCCAACAGAGATGACACATGATAAGAAATATTTTTGTTTTTCTGATTGTTACCCTGCAATGCTCACAATGGCTTGCTTGGTCATTCAGCGTACGAATGAGCAAATCCATGTGTTCCAATGTGTTCAGAAGTTGGAACTAGAAGAGAGTTAAACATATACTGCAGGATTTTTGCGAATTTTTAATTTTTTTTTAAAACACTCTCAACCCTTAGAAAAAAAACAATGCACATGCACAGCCCTGTACCCGTTCCAGAGAGAGAACACCTATTAAACATATACGAGAGCATGTCCGAGGAAAAATGGGCTTGTGAATAAAAGTAGCTGTTTCCATCGCTCATACACACTAACTTTCCGAATGAAGATTTGCAATTTGTCAGACTCACAACCGATAAGTGAAAATGGGGACGAGAACGTAGGACGCAATGGCATAAGTATCGGTAAGCAGAGACTGTAGTTGCTTAGGGGCCCTGTCACTAACATCTAGTAGCCCCCCTTCGCAATTGTGGACTAGGATGTCTCTTTGCAGATGTAATGATGCAAAAATGTCCTCTTAAACCCTCCTGATACCAGGTAGACTGACTGTACTTCATATGTGGCCCACCCAGATAATGCTGCTTACGGGCCTATTGTTGTGTCGTTACACCATTGGTAGGACGTCTTACATAAACATATCACCAGAATGATTGACAGTTAGGGGGACCACTTACTTAGATGATCCACCTGGTAAAAGAGCATCCTCCACTTTACCTGTGGGTGGGTTTGTGGTCAAAGCTCTGATTTAAGGAACAAACTAAAACACGGTTTAAGTGGACAAAAGAACAAGTTTCTGTTTTATTGGCATGTGCCTCACTTTATGTTAATTTTTGTTATTCTCTTTACTGTTTTTTTTTGTTTGTTTTGTTGAAAAAGTAAAAATCAATATGTTTGAAAAAATTTATCTGCTTAATTCATTAATTAATTTGTTTATTCATTTATTCTTACAAGTTATTTGTTGCCAGAGGACCAGTTAAGGAAGCTTCTAGTTCTACCTTTACAACACACAAAAACAGCTGGGTCATTTCTTTAAGCCAAACTTGTGCTTTATGCTGTGGGACTCTCTCTGGTGGATTAGAGATATGGAGGCTCATGGTTAATCACAGAAACTGCAATTTAAACTATGCAGCAACTAGATCAGAGTTCACTCTTCCACTTCAAATAAACAAATACAAAGGTGACAAAATTATGTTGCATAAAAATGAAGTTAGTCAGTAGTTTTACTGACTTTAGTTCACATTAATGAAAATGTTCACATAAACTGACATCCCTTTTACTTTCAACAATATCTGATTTCTGTGATGTAAATATGGCCCAATCATCATAAATCCTCTCCCAACAACATTTTTCCTGCACAATTCAAATAATAAATAAGCTACCATTTTAAGGGGGAAAGCATGAAATACAGAAAAGGGCCAGTAATTTACACAAGTGTGCATATCCTTAAACTTATTTGTTTTTGAAGAGCTTCATACTGTTTAGAGTTAGTGCAATCAATTAAAGTGAATCCAATAAAAAAAATGAATTTCTTGAGTTGTTCATTTCATCCTTTCACTAAAGAATAGAGGTTAGTCAGATTTTGAAGAACGAAGCGTGCAAAGATATCCGTTAGGAGAAGAACACAGAGGAAAGAAACTAAGTTATATATTTACAGTGGGTCAGCAAGGATCGGAATCACTGGAGGAAATGTGTGAAGTAACATGTTATGGAATCCAAATTGGGACTTTTTGGTCACAATTACTTAAAGTATATTTGGCAGAGAAAGAGTTATGCATGCCCATTAGATCTTCATACCGGCTGTGCTGTGGGGTAACTATTTAGAAGATGTATCTGAGGCTGTATTCAGGGTGGATGAAATGATAAAGAACTAGGACATTCTAGACAGTTTTAAATGGAATAACATTGGTAATCTGCAACTAAGCTGAATTTAAAGCTGGAGCACATTTCTTAGCAACACAGTGAGACTAAGAACAGCAAAAAAAAAAATAATTATTTAAAACTTAAAAACTTACAAAATGGCGTGGCAAGGGTTTAGATGGGAATCTGGCAGCAATTTGGCATCAAAAGTTGTTTGTGGACACAAAATGTCCAATAAACTGCATGAAAGAAGGATTGACAAATATGACCAAGTCGAAACGTGGTCATATTTGTTAAACTCAAACTAAATAATACTGAAAAAGCCGTAAAATCTCATCTTTTATTGTTTGTTTGTTTTCCTTCAAAAAGTAGTTATAGTGGTTATTTACAATTTTCATCATCTTCTATTTTTACAACAGTACATAACATATTTAGGGGATGGGAGAGTCCAACTGATGTACACTTTTTAATTGATAACCTTTCAGCTCTTATTATAGCACATTTTGCTGTACTTGCACATAAAAATTTATATTAAATTGATTGTTTGTTTTTATTAATTATTCATTTTGTACATGATTTAACATAGAAAATTGTAAGTAAGTTTTCAGCAATGATAATTTTACCACCATAGTTCTCAATCCTGGCTACATAAATATAGGGATGGAGAAAAAAATAATGTATTATCTCTTTATAGTAGGTTTTGGAGAGTATGCTTTTTACCATTTTTAAAATATAAAAAATTGTTACTGCCCTTTATTTCATTGCAATTACCTTATTCCAAAACTGTTGTGATGGATCAGTAGCCTATATTACCATTGAGTTTAACTAAATAAAAGCAAATGGATTGGACTAACCCAATAATTTGAACAGTGCATTGTGGTTAAAAATTAAAAGTTGTTTGACAAACTTTAAAATCCTGCAATCCTCCAACTTTTAATTAAAACGCAGTGCAAATCAGGAACACTGTGTGTTAAATCTATTCGAGCAAAGCTTTTAAGTCATAGGGTTCAGCATCACTTTCAGTTTTCAGCACCATGTGATGCTTTTAAAGGCCCTTAGATAAGTGAGCATCTTGCAGTTTATATTGAACGGGATTTCATGATCAGATCCTCTGATTCTCCTATTTTTAAGCTGATAAAAGCTTAGTGCTGTCGTTGCAGGAGCCTCGCTGCTGTACTAACATCCCTAGATGCTCTCCAGCTCCAGCTCCACCATCAGAAACAAAAATATACCGCAACTTGCATTCCTGTGTCCAGAAAAGCAGCCAAACGCTGCTGCGCTCACCTCCAACACTGACGGCTGCAGGGCGCTCCAGGCTCCAGCTGTCAACGCGCCAAATCCCGCGACTTTTCCCGGAATATTGACAACAAACCCGGGTAGAAACCGCTGCAGATGTGCGATACAGAACAGCGTTATCCGTGCAGCATTGCCAGCTCCTCCTTCCTTCCAGAGCGTCGCTGGGGTACAGATCGTGAAGGAAGTGATTTTTTCCCCCCTCCTGCAAAAGCTGATCCAATGCTTGGCCTGTGCCAGAATGTCCGACGCGGATTAGTGATGTTTTAAAATTTTTGAGAGGTCAAACTCCGCCCCTAGTGTATCCTCAAGCGCACTGCCGCTCCATTGCAATGCTCAGTGACTGCATGGTAAACTGTGTGCAGGAGGAAGGTCAGACTTCCAACTTGTCATGATGGTGATGAGAGGAGACATCACATGACCGCACTGGTTTCATAATCATGCCGCACTGTGGGGACTAACCCCTCCTGTGTGGTGGAGATCCTCTCTGTAAAATATAAAAATCCACATGCAGACTTCAATATAAAAAAAAATAAAGTATAAAGAAAAAATATGTAAAAGCAGTATTCATTTTTTTTCTTTTCTTATATAAATCATAAGTTACAGAAGGTGCAAATAACACTGATCATCAATATTTGATATTGAACATTTAAAATGAGTAAATCTGTGTTGTCTATATCTGTGGGACTCTAATGCTGCAGTAAGACAGCTTATTGCAGAAAAAAAAAGAAAAAAATGGGGCAGATGGAGAGCCTGGCAGGGGAAAGGCTGCAGAGCTTCGCAGGTTATAAGTGGAGGCAGGAGGACTAAAAGAAGCTGATGCAAGCTGCAGTCAGCAATAGTCCCGCTGAACTGTGTCTTATTCGAACAGATTTTGGTGCCTCACCCTAAAATAAAAGGATGCTATGTGGTGTAAAAGACAATCACATTTTAAAAGCTGATGGTAGCTTTGACAAATACAGGGAAAGGATCCATATCCTGTGTCCATCTGCATATTTTATTGGGAATTTATGTGAAAATATGTCTAATTTTGAAGCAGTAGCAAAAGCAGATATGTCTTTGGTTTGTTTAATTTATCTTCTTTTTACATAATGTACTTTCTAAAACAACTTGTTATTCCAAATATGTGAATCTGATTTTTTTTTAGTTTATGTCTCCACTTCTAAAGATGAACTCTTTAGGCATTTTCTCTTTGCAGATTAGACCGATTGTATGGAGAGTAAACAACAACATGTTGCCCTTTCCTTTGAATAAAATTTAAGCCTGTGCTTTGAGTGGATTGTTCCAATGTTCTTTGGTCTGAACTACTCCACTTTAGTCTTTTGCAACTCTGATCATGTTTTATTTAGGCTTCATTTAGGTCCAACCATCTACATATTAACGCCAATCAGCATCCTGAGCATAATGATGCCACCACCATGTCAATAGTGCATTAAAAACAATAATTTGACTAGAGGTTAAAGGTTCGTTCAAATGTTTACTGTGCCACTGTATTTATTAGTATTGCAAAACTCTTGCAACAGTATTTTTCATATCATTCATATTGGTGGAGTATACGAATAATAATTGTCCTTCAAACCAATTCTCACAATTCTCCAATTAAAGTTATAGTTTAAAAGATAGTAAAATTTAATAAATCTTGAAGGAGGTATGAATACTTTTGCAAGTGTCTGCATTACCTTTGGGTCACTATTATTTCTGTATATAGGGTGCAAAATAGAATGCAAAAAAATTTGAATCAAAGCAGTTTTGTAAAGGCTGAGATAAAAGTAGCCAACACTATATCATAAATGATTTTTGTTTGATGATTTAAAGCTGTTTACGTTTGTTTTTTTTCTCTAAAACACGCATGTCAAAGAGAGAAGGTGGCAATCTGCACTGAGGTATGAGAGTGTGAATGCAATGGGTTGGGTGGCTTATTTTAGTGACACTGCATATTTTTACAGTCAGATGTGCTATAAACATTGAAACCTCCCTTGGGGCACATGAAAAGATTGTAGGTATTATTTATAAAGTACATCTGCAAAGGGTAAAAAAAAAAAGTGTAACTGAGTCTGTTTGCTTTTTTGCCGAATATGGAACACCAGAACTCTTTTCAGATAAGATGTCAGTGTCAATATTGATGTTCCAAAGGCTATTTTTGGCGATGGACATGTCTGGGTTTTTTCTTGTAGTTTTCTTGGAGTTGGTACAGATGTAAGCCTTAATGGAGCTGCGCTATAATAACAGACTCATCCTTTGTGCTGTTGGCTAGGTTCATAGTTGTTGGTTTTTTTTTAAATTAAAAATAA